TGATAAATATTCTAAATGAGAATTCCTTCAGAAATAGCATAAACTATAAAACAGCATAGGCATACCACATCAAATTCTTTTGGATGGGTGAGCATATGCACACGGGCATCAGCAAGATGTGATTCCACCTTTGAACATGCAACCGAACCATTGAACTTGATATTTCTCCTACAAGCTTCAACAGCATCTGCAGGAAGACGAATAATAGTGATAACTGTTCTGATGTTTACAGGTAATAAGAAAAGCTGATATGGATCTACAACTTGGGTATATCAATATGTATTTAAATAGAAACTAGAAGTCCATAATCTCATCTAATTTGGTCTATATGTCCATTAATTATTCCTTTTCTTTTGAACAAACAAAGTAACCTTCTAAAAGGTTAACAAAAAAACTGGCCACATACATTTAAGTGCAGTTGATAGAGAAAACCTAAAATCTACCTTTATCATTGTCTAGAGCAACAACTTGACCAATTCCTTCCACTTCACGAGCATACCTAAGAGCTCTTAAACCAGAAGCTGACAAGGCCTGTGAACGCAAATGATACAAAACAGAAATGTGAATTTGCATCTTCCAGATTAAAGAACAAAGATGAAAGAAACTAATTAATCGATTCTGATCAAAATTCATGAAAAAACCTCAAGAACTCTTGGTGGCTTCAGTTCCCCACACCATTTTCCCTCAGTGACCTTCTCTGGTTCTTCTGAAACGCTACATGGTTCATCTTGAGATACCTCTGCTGCCATTTCACAATCTCCATTGGTTTTTTCTTCATGATTAGCAGGCTCAATAGGTACTTCTTCTACAACACAGTTTGAAGCATCTTTGTCAGACTCCTTCACCGCAGTTTTTGTTTTCTTGGACAATCTTGCTTCATGCTCCTCCTTGCGTTTGGTTATGAATGTCCTCAGAACAGCGATGGATACGTCTCTGTTGTTAACCTAATTATTACACAATGAAACAATCAAGCCTCCTGAATTACTAAATCTAAAAGTCAGCCAGCAAACTTAAGTGATTGAATGTATCCAATAAATAGTGATCAATAATGCTGAAAATTCAACAGTCATGCATCGCAAATCACCCCCTACATAATATTTACCATACTAAAAAAAACTGCTAATAACATAATCAAAACGGGATGTTAAGTATTCGAAAGCAAAGAACTTTGGGCGACGACTAGGTTAACTTGTCCATATTGAATTTGCACTGCATATATAAACCGTAAGCAGAAATACTTAATCTAAATGATGAGCCAATTAAGCAACACAAAATTCAATATATGAATTGGGTTTCCTTCACTTACATGCTCCCAAATGCGAGACACAATTAACATTTCCAATCCAAGGCTTCATCACACACATTCCTCAACGATTACTAATCACAAAAATAAAACCGTTCGCATATCGAAATTCTTCGATTCTAAACATTAATCTTTCCTATTCCTACAATACTTACCCAGCAACCAAACCCAACTTTTCACCAACTAACACTGACCCGACACACTTCCAATTCAGAACAACTCAAAAACACAAAAAGACCTCAAACATATCATCTCAAAAATCCCACCAAACCCAACAAACCCAATTCAAAAATCACAAAAAGAGAAGATTTTGGCACCTGGGTTTTGTTGTAAAACACTTGGTTCTTAGCATGCATGAGAATCTCAGCCTCTCCTTCCTTGATGATGGCGTAATCACTGAGATCGGTCGCCATTGTTCCTCCACTTCCAAGCAAAAAAAATACAACCCCAAATCACTTCCTTCCGAGAACAAACTCAAAACTCTAAAAAGCAGGAGCCTTTCTCTTCCCTTCTTATTCTTCGTCTCTTCTATGGAACCCCTGGCTGGAGTTTGCGAATTTGTGCAAGGAGCCAAACTGAAGACTTTTATAGGTAGACTGTAGACAGCAAAAATATGCTTATTAATTAACCCTATCTTTTGCTGCTAATCGCGATTTAAGTTTTGATGTTTTGATTTTTCGGATAAATTGACGTTTCTTTTTCTTCTTTTTTCTGCTTAAACCCTAACATGAACGGGAAGTTGTAAAAGTGGTGCGCGGAGTGGGCGGGGATGTCGGGTCACCCCCAATCCGGGGCTCCAAATAAGAAAAGTTGTAAACAAATTTTTTTTTTTTAAATTATTAATATCACTAAGCCAAATAGCCAAATACAAACATATTTTGTTATAAAACTGAGTCTTTTCATATAAATGTAAGTCTTTCGTAATAGTTTGAGTGTGTGTGATACTTATATATAGTATTTCATAATAGTTTGAGTGAGTGTGATACTTATATATAGTATCAGGCAGCTTAAGTTTGATACATATAAGTGATATAACACTAATAATGCACAAGTGTGAGTTCAATATGTTTGGTATCACTCTCAAATCTTCTGACCACTGCAAGAGCTTGATTCGTTTCAGACTCACTTTTCTTGGCTTATTGTGGGAGGCCTAAGTTAACAAATTTATGGGACAAACCCCAATAATGTCTTGAAAAATAAATGTTATAGTGCATGAAATAAATCATTTCATGTATTAATGGTGTTTTTTTGTTAACAAACGATACTGTTTACATTAAGGGGGGTGAAAGAATGGATTAAGCCTCACAATAAGTCAGTAATAAACAAAAAAAAATTAAAATGAACGGGAAGTTATAAATTGACGTTTCTTTTTCGTCATTCACTCACAGTCTTGTAACATAATCTTTCCTCGCTTGGAGATTAGTGCAAGTCCTCAATAAACTTGTCCACTAAATGGCTCAAATTTTGGTGAGCTTATTGTTCTAGCAACAGCAACAGTTTTCGTGACATTGACCTCACCGTGCCTAAAAATTCACCCATTGACTTAAATTCATTGACTCCGCCGCTTGTGTTATGTCCAAGGTTTGGGCATGACGGTCATCCTGGGCTAGACAGAATGTAAATTGAGAATTGAGACAAACGATTTCGTGGCTTGTATTGTAAGGGAATGTGTAGGGACTCTTGCTCCTTCGCAAGTTTTGGGCTCAACTTATCCAAAAGAGCTTTGTTGCTATGTACCCAAGTGATTTTTCAGATGAGGAGGCCCATTTGGCAAACATGCATAGCCCTGCAAAAGTGGATACAATATCGTCATTCGCGTTATTGCCAGTACTTTTAAAGGGTCATTTTGACCCGTTTGTACCATAACACCGAATTTGTACATCAATTGGCGGATATTATTGGACAGCTCCTAACATCCCCCACATGTAATCCCCTTATTGACAACAGTAGACACTTCCCAAACATTAAATCATACAACTCTTAACAATCTCTCTTACATAACCCCTTTGTTGATGTCACTAGTATTCCTCTTCACTTGTAAGTGAGATGTCTTAAGTTCGATTTTCGCTAAAGGCAAATTTAAATTATATTATTGCTATCCTATTGGGCTTATGAGATCATCTCAATAGGAGAGATGTATTCCATTTACTTTTTTCTCTTTGACTGACGACGCCGACCTTCAAAGGATGTAAAGTTACATCTTTATCTACATTTTTTGACCAAAATAGTTTTTTATATCTCGTCTATTGGAGAACTTTTCAGCAAACCAAAAATACAAAATACCTTAACTTAATGCATTTTGCATCTCCAATTGAAGATAGTTTAACAATTTTCTTGTAAGTCTTCTTCTCATATCTACATTTATAATTAGCCCAACATATTTGTTCAACATAAAGTAGGGTTTCGTCATTGATGAAGTAATATTACTCAAAGGGTATGGAGGAGCAAAAGCTTTTGTAAAATATTTTATTTTCTTCGGCCCCATCGAATCGTGCATTCCACACTGTAAATCTTGAAGCTTGACAAGATCTTCTATAACCTTTTCAAATATTAGCACTAATATATAGTTTCTATAACCATCAATACCTATATATAGGCATATAATGCATAAACAAATGAGTTAAGCCAATGAAGCACTTCTCAACTTTCCAAATAAGGTAAGTAGATGAAGCCCAAAGGCCAGGTGTAGGATAGGTGAATCGTCTCCCCTCTCCTTTTAAAACTTTTTGCCCCCCATTACCCTAAACAGTGGTGATTAAGCACGCAAATAGTTTTACACAGATGTTAAACCCTAGTTGGATAAGAGCTACTTTCCAAGGAGACCCACTAAATCATTTCGGCTTAGTTAAGAATACAATGACAGATTAGTTATACAACGTGGCTTTGTGTGTGTGTGTTTTTTTTTGTAGTCTGATTCACATACTCATTTTTACTTCTCACACACCCTTCTTAGTTTTAATTTGGCTGCCGAATCGAATGAAGATGAATGTGTAATAAGTAAAAATGAGTGTGTGAATACAACTATTTTTTTTTATCGATAAGTGGCTTTTTTTTTTTTTTTAATCGATACGTGGCTTTTTGTTATGTAGAAGATATGATCTAGTGGTGATGTCAGAATTTGAATTCTCGCCGGATCCTCTTTGTGAGGATTCCGGGGATCCGTGAATTGTGTTCGTTCATCGTACATCGTGCAATCAGAAATCATTTAAAGTATTTTTATTTAAAATTAAACGCAAACAGTACCTGATAAAAACTGACCACACAATGTACGATGAACGGACACAATTTATGGATTCCTAAGATTCTCACCACAAAGATCCGGAGAGGATCCTGTTGGGTGATGTCATATAGTAAAAGGACTAGGGCTCGACGAGCCTGCTGTTGTACTGGGATTGGTTGGAAGTGTTGAGATGATTGAGACCCGTGTCTCAACACGTGTACTCAGGTTTGTAGGGGGAAGGATCAATTCGATTTCATGACATGGTGAGAGACAGAAGCAGAGATTCGATTCAAAGATCTTGACTGAGATCATCAATGTATTAAACAAAGCAAAATATATTCAAGCCACTGATTCAGGGGGAATATACTTATCATGTGTTATGTGTGTATATAAAGGGAATGAAGTTAACCTAACCATGCATTGTGCAATATAACCAGCGTCCCATAGAATACAAAGAAAACAAGCAAGTACTACCTATTGAGTTGAGCTGAAAGATGGTAGCTATGATGGGTTGGGGTGGTGTGTCAGAACAAGGATGGAGGAAAGGTTCTTGGACTCGTGAGGAGGATAAGCTGCTCAGTGAATATGTCAGCTTACATGGAGAGGGAAGATGGAGTTCTGTGGCTAGGTGTACAGGTAATAATTAACCAAGTTAATTAGTCTAATTTTTTAGCTTTAATTTTGGATTAATTGATAGTCTTAGACATGCATGCTCAATTAGGGTTTTCTTTTTATTTTAAGGTTTGAACAGGAGCGGGAAAAGTTGCAGACTCAGATGGGTAAATTATCTGAGGCCAGGACTAAAGAGAGGGCATATAACACCTCAGGAGGAAGACATCATCGTTGAATTGCATGCTTTATGGGGTAACAAGTAAGTAATAAGAACAATACCCTTGCTAGCTAACACACACACACACACACTCTCTCTCTCTCTCTCTCTCGATTAAATATTTATCAAGTACACTCAAAAAAAAATTTCTGATGTGAATTATTTTATGAATTTACAGATGGTCTACCATTGCAAGATACTTGCCAGGGAGAACAGACAATGAGGTAAAGAACTTCTGGAGAACCCATTTCAGAAGGAAAGAGCAATGCACTCAGAAGCAAGAGAAAAGAAAAGCTCAGATTCTTGAAGCAAAACAACAACAATTAGAGGAAGATCAAAACATGAAAACAAGAGCCACACCGCCACCACATCAAGATTTGGAAGCCTGCAGCCAAAGAATAGTAAACAATATGAATAATACTGATATCCATAAAACACAAGCAACAAGGCCAGAAAATATGGAGGAAGACAAATATTGCTTGCCTAAGTTGATGCACCAAGCAAGTGTGGAATTTTGGTCAGATTTATTAGGAGAAGAAGGGTTTTACATGGGCAAGCTCTGGAACTTAGACGACGTAAATGGTCGAATGGATCCGCAGCAACACACAAGCTTAAACCAGTGCAACAGAGTAGCCATGCAGATCAACAATCAAGGAAATACTGCAGCAGCTTTATCTTCTGGAGGGGAATTGAGCAATATATCAATGCAGAATTGAAGTGAAACCAAATCACCTGCTTTATTTGGGGGAGGAGTGTTAGACCAAGTCCTAGTCCGCGTGTGGTTTCAAGAGTTCGTGATCAAGTCAAATTGTTATCCCACAAGAGTTAGTTTATGTAAGTTTTTACAAGGAGGACATTCCAACACATTCTATAACGGAGGAGGCTACATCTTCTAATTAGAAATGCTGATCATTCATTAGATTGGTACTATCTTTATTTTTTATGTCGCCAACTGACACAATCGATGATGAACCTCGATCTGATCCAGCTAGCTAGCTATCATAAGCATATCCATAAAATTCTATATATATAAGAGGTAGTGTGATCTTTTGTATCCGTTAAACTTGTTTTAGATGAGTGATCAGTGAGGAAGAAAACAAAGTATATATATGGACTTTAAATTAGCTTGAAAGAAAGCACAGTTTTATGCAGTGATCAACGAAAGACACGAATCTGTAACCAAACAATAGAAACAATTTGTTTTGCAACAATTTAACCAATTAGTTTTAAATGGAAAATTATTGGAGATTGATAGAGAAAAAGTATCGATTTTATCACTAGTAACCCCAACCAAGGGGACTGAGAACGCACAAATAGCTGAACTGATCAAAACCACATCAAGTACTAAGTCAGTTGTCTATATACACAATCGAAGCTGATCACTACCACTTATAAGTATATATCTTTTGAAAGCTCATTGACAGTTGACATAAGGTAGGCAGGTATGCGAACAACCGACTGATCGGTGAAACCAAAAGATCAAAGGTCAGATCAGCCTGCCCATATACTACTATGTAATTAATCAGTTAATTAAGAGCTTAGATACATGCATGCAGGTACGTCGTTGGTACCTCTGTTTCACCGTGATACAAATCTGACCGCTTCTTAATTAAGTTTACCTTATCACAACGTTGCTAAAGAGGTAAACGATGATAACATTGAATCGTATGCACTAATCAATAATATATATATATATATATATATATATATATATGAAATTGAGTCCTTTTCAGCAAAGAAAAGAAAAGAAAAGAAACCGAGGGGGAAATCAATAGTAAAACTACATATGCAGAGGTAAATGATCTTAATTGTTCGAATCAACCGATATTCTAACAAAGAATCAAACTATTATTAGTTATGGGCTCGTAGAATTCTATCTAGCAAGACAAGAACACAGACTGCTTAACACAATTGTTAAAATGTACTTGGGCTGGATAGATTAAACCCGTAATTCTAAAGCCCAGAAGCCAAAAAAAAAGAAACTTAAAAAAAATGGCCCATGCAGGTCTCGAACCTGCGACCTTCGCGTTATTAGCACGACGCTCTAACCAGCTGAGCTAATAGGCCATTGTTGTCCAATAGCTCCAAATTATTTTTTATGTTGGAAACTTAGGTTTCAGATAAGGAGCTTTTTCACTGATCACTTGTCAGCATGTTCTGGTCGACCGGAGAGGAAAGCAGAGAGACAGAGAGCAAAGCAAATGGATAACATAACGGCGAGCGAGCTGGCTGGATTTGGTGTCGGAACTCTGCTCCTCTGCGCCACCATTGCCGCCCCGAAGATCGATGCTTTCATCTCCGCCTCTCAGCGCAGGTAACACTTACTAATACCCCGTTTCATATCTGTTCATTAAACGCTAGTCTTCCTAATGATTTTACTTATTAATCTTCAACTTCTGATTAGTTTCCAAGATTTGTAGAAATACCCCATGTACTAATGAAAATTTCCTATCTGCCTCAATATAATTAGACGTTTTTGGTGATTTGAGTAAAGATCCGCCAAATTTATTCACCAAATGACGTTTAAATTGACGTTCGCTTTGGACCTTATTTGTTTTGAACAAGTAAGGAGCTTGACGCATACGCAGACACGTTTGAACAAATTTGGTGACTCGAGGATTATTGTTCTAATTTATGTTTTGTGTACGCTAAACCTTTGAATGTTCAGTTCTTTGGGAATGTGCAAGAGATGTGGCAATCTGAGGTTGATAGCTTGCTCAAGATGTAAAGGAATAGGATTGATCAAAGAAGGTCAAATGCTCGGATCAAATCTCATCGACGACATGTATGAATCGCTTGGTGGTGAAGGATCGAAAGTAAGATCCATCTCTTGCACCAATTGTCAAGCTAGAGGTCATTTTTCGTGCCCCGATTGCTCTAAACCAACATCTGTTTGAGTTTGCTTGGTCGTGTAAACTAAAACTTGATCAGGCTATTTGTGTTATCTTAGAAAGACAAATCAATGTCAAAGCTTTCTTCGCCCTCAGTCACCATACTTGTTTGGTACCAGTGATGTAGGCCAATGAAATTTATGAACCCAAATTAGACAGTAGAGATATAGCGGTGCATAATCCATATATATACATTCTGAATCTTTCTGTACTTTCCTTTTCGTCGAATATTCATCCTTGATAATATGCTTGAATTTGTTTGATGTCCTTATGGTCATATGTTGTTCTTGCTTTTCGTGGAATGTTCATCTTTGATAAGCCTGATATAATGTATGTGCTTGAATTTGATTGATGCCCTTATGCTCCCGGTTGAATGGTGGAGCCTGAGAATTTAGTAGGGGGCATATATTATATACAAGAAGTTACGGGGCTATAATATGACCATTCATCTGACCTTCAGATGAACGGTTTCCCTCCTCTCCCTCCGTCTGCTCCTGCTAATGATCTGATATTTGGTCTCAGTAGGCCCATACAGTGCCTCAACTCTCAAGGGGTGCCCGATGCACGCCTTTGATAACACCCTCATAAACTTGGTTTTGATTAGAAGTGATATCGTACGGCTTTTTCTTCATTCCCACCACCCTCGCACCACAGTTATTTTCTTTGATCTAGGAATTTAAGATATCCGGAATGTGTTGTTGTAAGACTAAATGGTAGATTGGACACTGATGCAAAACTATTAGGAAGTGCCTTGCTAGCTGGAAAGAGAAGGTTTTTGCCAAAGATAGCAGCTCACATGGAAAGTATATATACCCTTTGAAATTGGTAGGAAGGCTGGTTTAGGGGAGGGGCCGAAGTGGTGATATTTACTGTACATGGTTGTGCTTTGGCAATTTGCCTTAGGATTCTAAAACCTGCAGATTTCGTAAACACTCGCACTGATACATTGAAATTATGCTTAGATATATTGACGGGCTATTGTAAGTGACAGAATGGCCTTGCATTTAGCATGTGTCGCTTTGATTCCCAGACATGCTCACATGTGTTACGGGCGAAGCTTAAAGCACTGACACTATTGTGTTTGTGGGAGGAATCATATCGCATTTGTGCTACGCATATTTCCATGTATACTTATAAACTGTTGCGAAGTGACAAGGCACCTGGAACCAGCTATTGCCTGTTGGTGCACTGAGCAGCAACTCAGGGCCCAACTTGACTAGGTTCACTAAGATGATAATTCTGCTATGGTGGATTTGATATGTGCCACTCTGGGTATCCTATATTAGCCCTTACTATTTTTAGGACCAATCGAGATCTTATCCGGATCTTTGCAGTCTAGAGCCGACGGATCGAGAAATCCGGAAAACTCATTTTAAATCTTACAGTCTCATACCTAATTCTATTGGTCCACCTTATACAAATCAAGAGTTCGAATCTCTCTCCCCTTCTCTTAAACCGTTCAAATTACTCGGTCCATCAGATCTGTATTGCGAAATTCGGAGGGAATTTGAATTACAACATTGCGATTAATAAGAACCGTGCTTTCTCTTTCGGAGAATAACTTGCATCACATGAACCCGAATGAACGCAACGAAATAATACGGTACATTCAAATAATACGGTATAAGAATGCCGTTGTGTTCATTCGGGGACAATAAAAGTTGATCTCTGTTTCCGAATTGTGAATACTCAACTTGTATTGGATATTGGAGCTCTCATTCTTCCCTTATATAGCAAGGTAATATGCCTTTCTTATATTGGTAACCTAAGCTAAGAATATACTTGCACACTTGATGGGAGAAGGATAAGAGAACCAGAATTCAATTTGGTTATTTGGACAAGATTTGTAATGCTATTTCAGAAAATTCTGATGACTTTGCAATGAGAAATAAACAGAAATAGTGGTCCATCATAAATTTGGAATTAAAAGAAGAAAAATGGCATGGCCTTGATTAAGAACATTCATCTATGCATCTGAGATCATGAGTTTAATTCTTTACTCTCTTCACTATCGCTTTAATTAAAAGATGTGAAATGCCACACCGGGCCTCATTTGGTCGCTCGACCTAGTCAATACTAGACTAAGCTTCAAGTTTGGAGCAACGATGACTAGGGTACTAGGATTGAGCTTTGATTCAGGTTCAGTTGTGACACACATTTGAGCTTGGATCAAAGAATCCATGTCCCTCCTATGTTGGATTTCTTTTCAAAATTATTATTACAGTTCGAAATGCATTTAAGTCTACCAAATACTAAAGTATCGTTGGTACAAACCAGTTTTATCAGCAAAAATAATGTGACATAGAGTAACTACTTGAAATTACATTCAAGTTCAAATCAACTTCTGCACAAATTAGAATAATTTAAAATTGACCTTCTCCAATGAAAAGTAAAATTACAATATTTCCTTCAAATAAGGAGAACTATTTGACTTTTAACATCTTACAAGGTACAGTGTTACTACAATATTTCCCTTCAAATAATGAGAACCATTTGACTTTTAACGTCTTATAAGGTACAGTGTTGCTACTAGTCTACTATGGAAAAGGATCCTCACCAGATCTCTTTTTTGGGATTTTAAAATTTCATAATCAGTGATCGTTACCGTTCATCGTACATTATATGATCAATTTTTGTTAGGTATTATTTATATTTAATTTTAAATTTTAAAATAATTTATAATTATACGATGTACGATAAATGATCACGATCATAAAATCTCTAAAATTCCAGAAAATCCTTTTCCTCTACTACGACCATTTTTACCATTAACCTTTTACCATTTACTGTTTACGACCACGTGAATTCCATAACCAAAAAGCATAATCAAACGGGCAAAAGACTCCTTCAAGTTTTCAAGCTTTTTCCCAGCACGCGTCCGACAAGACGTTGACAGCCAAAATTAAACACCAAGTAACTCTGTTTTTACCCCTGTCGTTTAGCGACACGCGTCCGAACAGAGCATTTTACTGTTCGAGGGGCAGACGCCGTTTGAGAGCGTACGGAGGTTCCGCCATCAATCTTGTCCGTCACCTGGTACTGTTCTGAACCCCAATGGGCGGTCGACACGTAGTCGGTGGAGTGCTGCTTTGACACTCAGCGGTCACCTTGGGCCTTGGAAACTGGCGCTTCTCTGAGGTCGGAACATAAGACGGACTCTTCCTATGGAAACGCGTGTTTAACTGGTTTATCTCCGTTTTCGATTTTGCCTGCCTTGGTACCAGCACTGTCTTTTTATTTAAAAATTTTTAACAAAAAGTTAACAGTACTATTTATTTTAACGAAAAAATTATATTTTTACACTAAAAAGTTAATTATATACTATTCACTTACCTTTTATTTTGTTCTTATCGTTAAAACTCAAAGTTTTCAAGCATTTTCATTATTTTTCCTTTTTATTTATGATTAATCTCATAACGAGCTAGTAATAACGTGGTTAAAATTTGTATTTGTTGAAAATCGAATCTAAAACCTTTCACTTGTAAGTAAATATGATTATCATTTGACTGTAGTACTAAGTTTGTTCAATGATTTTTTTTTTCTTTAATGATAATGTTCATTGTTGGTTGGTCCTTAAATACGATTAAGCATGGATCAAACGGGAGGGTTAACTTGAGTTTTTTAAGCATTTAACTTGCAAGGAAAATAAAAACCATGTGAATTTTCTATCCAAATAACCCATTAGATTGATTTTTTTGTTAAACATTGGGGCTAGTAGCCCATCAAAACAGAGAATTACAAAATAATATCTCAAGCTTGAGAAATCCGACAATATTTGCCATTACGAATTGTTTACAAGAGGGGGATTGCTCAAAATTGACAGGTCCTAGAGTGTAAGTGAATCTCAAGCTGGCCAATTTATAGGCAACAAAAAATTCATCTTGCGATAAATATGTCGAATACATTTTCTATAAGATATATTGAACGAGAGGGCATTTAAACATGACGAATGCACGAAAAACACTATTAAATTCTTAACACCTCGAGTACAATTCATTCCTAACTTGTTATATTTTAAATCAAGACAATTAATATGTATATATATCATTCCGCCTAAACAATAGTTATACTTCGTAGTCCAATAACTTAAAAACTCGTTTGATAACAATTTTGATTTTAATTTGTTTGAGATACGATAAAAGTACACGGGGAATGAAGGAAGGTTGAATGAGGGAGAAGAAAAAATAAATAATGAAGAACGAGAACAAAATATTGAAATGTATTTGGTATACCTTTCTTTACATCTCTTTCACCATTCTTTCACCACTCTTCTCTATATTTATATAGCCCTTATTCTATCATACATTTCATCTATATACATGCTACTTAAGGAAAGAGATTTCTATTTTGTTTAAATGGAGATTAGTTGTGGGACTTATTCCACATCGAACTTTAACGATCCGAACTATTTATTTTATAAATCTCGATTCATAGGTCATCAATGAAAAAATTCAATTCAATTTGAAACCATTTGCCCATTTAATTGTTACGAACATAGTGTTCGTCAAATTTTTTTGAACTCAATTAAATGCCTCAAATATTTCCAATTTGGCTAATATTTTGCAAGGATAATCTATGAGGCGCAACTTGAAAAAATAGACGTTCGGATCGTTGAAATTTGATTTGTGGCCCCCACAACTAATCTCCATTTAAAAAAAAAATAGAGATCCCTTCCTTTAAAAAATCTTCATCTACACACACACACACACATGCACACACACACACATATATATATATATAATTAGGTTGTTCATTGTGTTTCATTACCAATATTTTATTATGACCGGCTTATTTTCTAGGGTAAGTTTTGAGTTTAGTTGGACGAAAATACCGGCTTATCTTTAATGTGTACTTAAAACACAAGGTGATATATATACTCAAAAATCTCTCCTATGTGTACAATTCTTTAGATATACAATTCAAAACTGAAGAGGAATAATTTAGACGGGGTTCCACATACTGAATAATTGTACTCATTCATCTTTAAGTACATGTCCATGCATGATTGTGGTTTACTAACTTTAAAAATCTGTCGTACGTACCAAATATATTACTTTAACTCTATGGATTCTTATATTCCCATAATTGAAACGCCATCCAGTCACTTCTCATGTCACCGAAAAAAATATATATATATATATATATTGATTTTTATTCTAAATTAAACGTCCTCTTATTTTGTGCGATTACGGTTAAGCTACGTCAACATTTTATATTAATTTTTTTTATAAAGATAATAAGACAAAAATCAATAGGAATATAA